GTGTAGATAGTGTTGCCCGTTGCAAGCTCCAGCAAATAAGACAGTTTAACGGTTATGATGCTTGCAGCTTTTGCATGCATCCGGGAAGCTTAGTGGAAAGACAAATAAGGTACACATTTGAGGCCAACACTCCTGCACGTCAAAATGTTGACGTGCTTAATGCAATGGCTCTTTTTCACAGAAGAGGAGAGACTGTCCAAGGTGTTAAGGGTATATCACCTTTGATTTCCATACCAAACTTTAATATAGTCAATTATTGTCCAGTGGACTACATGCACGCAGTGCTCCTTGGAGTATCGAAACAACTTTGCAAGCTTTGGTTTGAACATCCTAAATTGAAGTGCTACATAAAAGATAGGATGGAGGACATAGACAGCTTACTTGAATCAATACATCCATTTGCTGAGATCTCAAGATATCCTAGAAAAATTTCGGAAAGGAAATCTTGGAAAGCCAACGAGTGGCAAAACTGGCTGCTCATTTATGGTCCAGTGTGCTTAAATGATGTTCTTCCCGTAAATTATTATGACCATTTCGTATCATTTTCAAGAACAATTAATAGGTTGTTGTGCGATGGACTAACCGAAAATATAATTAATGAATGTGAAATAAGTTTGACTTATTTTGTGAAGAAATTTGAAATACTCTATGGTTCTGAACAGATGACGTACAATGTTCACTTGATGCTTCATATTTCCGAATGCGTACGAAATTACGGTCCATTATGGGCCTTCTCATTATTTTCATATGAAGATATCAATGGAATGTTAAAAAAGTATATGAAAGGGCCCAAAGAACCTGTTTTACAAATTGCTACTAAATATGTTCTGTCTCACGCACGATACAACACTCATTATTTAGAATCTTGTCAAGAAAACGTAATACAATTTTGTGATTCTAACAAACATCAACCAGAGTGCAAGGAAATGTTTCAAATTCCTGCTTCTGTGATTAATTCATACTCAATAACTTCTTTTGAAGCAGTCAAAATATTGAGATTTAACCGGTACATTTTCAAAGCTGATAAAGAAACAGAAATCAAAAATTACAATCGACAAACTTGTTGCGATTCCACATTTAGTATGATGGTTAAAGAAACAAACCAGTTTGGTATTATTAAAACTATTTTATGTAATGAGAGAGATTATTTCTTTTTGTATTTTCCAATAGAGATATGTGATTCAAACAAATATCCTTTGTACGGAAGATTGAATAACAAAGAACTTAAGCTCATAAAAGTTGATAGCTCATTGCAAAAATGCGTAAGAATTTCTGTTCTGGACAAAATGTACGTTTGTTCAATAGATTTTATTCTTTGGGTAGATTAACAACGATTAAAAAATGTTTTGAATGAAATGAAAAGAGTAATAAAATATGCTATGTGTTTGTTATATTGTACCATTATAACATTATAATTGAAACTTCTTGTAAGTAATAAAGATTCTACGAAAAAAAAAAGTTCAACTTTCATTACCACAATATTCTCATAGGGAATTTCGCTTCAAATAAATAAAATAAAACTATGTTAAACCTTTAACTCGCCTTTAACAACACAAAACATTGTAAAAATGCTGTACTATAAAAAAATTTTTTTTTTGTCTAATTTATCTTACAGAAATTAAACAATGTTTTTCATGGGAGACAACAAAAATTATGGTTGGATCATCGTTTCTACCGTAGAAGACGTTGTAATTTTTTTTTCGGGCGGCGCGCTGAAAAATCAATTTTATCTTTAAACGCGTTTATCTCGAAACGGGGTTTTTCAAACTGGCGTGGGAAATAACTCTAACCAGTTATCATCAAATTTGGATATCGCCTAGGTTTTCTTGTTCAGAATTAAATTCTGCTTAGAAATACGTATCCACATTTTCGATTTTGTCAAAAATGGATTTTTAATCCACGATTTTGTAAGCATTTTTAGGGTAAAAAAATTGACTTTTTTTTTCCTAAGGCTACAACTTTTGAAAAAATTAATTAAAAAAAAAATCGGAATACGTATTTCTAACCCAAATTTCAGTACTAATTACGATTTTTGTTCGATTTATGTTCCAGGATCACATGGAAAGGAGTATTTTCCCACGCCGTTTTCCGACTTCCACGCGAGGACGCCCGCGCGATCTGGTGCACCGCCAACGGGGAGACGCCAATCGAGTTCAAAAAAATAAAAATTGAAGTTCGAAGGATGACTAATAAATGGGTTATAACTTATAACATATTTGCCCTCCCTGAGTGTTTTATTGCTTAAAAAATTTAACGAAAATGCCTTACTTTTTGGACTTTCAAAGTGTACTACCATAGAGGTAACTCTAAGACTAGAAGGTCTCGAAGAAACGTGCTCAACTTTTTGGCTCAGCTCTGGTACTCTCTTCGGTCCCAAGCTATTCGATTCACCCATCGAAACATAGGGAAAACCAATAACCCCTCATTTTATCTGTCAAACTTTCATAGCGAATCAAAACAAACATTGCGTAGTACTAGAATTTTGACTAGAATGGAGTACGTTAATCGTTTGCTTGGGACCAATAGGCTAGTCAAGTAGTGAGTCAATTTAAAATCGTTAGTTTCGTATTGATTGTTGGTACTACCCCCTTAATGAACAATCATCAAAGCATACGAATACACTAGCAACCCCGCAATGTTATGATGCCATCATAATTTTCAGCTATGTCAGAAATGCTCAACAAACCCCCAACAATCTAGAAAACTTACTATTATTTACCAGGCACCTTCCAAGTAAGCCTCATAGGCTTTTTTTTATCAAATGTTGAATTCAGTCCTATATATCCGTAATACGCGCGCGTGGCAAACCTTTGTAGACTACTCAAAGATGTTTGTTTTTAAAACTGCTACTATTAAATCAAATATCGAAGCGAACAAAATTGTGTGTGAAGTGCTACAATAATTATTAAAACGTCGTTAGGACAGCTATCCATACAAAATAATCCGTTAGAGATAACTTCGTCAAGATACATAATTTGCCAATTCATAACACACGCACTCTAGTTTTTAGCTGAAGGAAGGCATCCAGTCGTAGGTTTGGAAATTGCAGCTATTGTTACCTCTACACGGTATGTGCTCCTGTCATCGTCGACTTGATGATCTCGAGGGGACACGGATGCCTTCCTTCAGATAGCAACTTGATTGCGGTACAATCGATAGAACTGTTTCAAACACACCGACGGTACATGAGCGAATCGGGGATCATCTCTTTTTGTCGGCAACTTCGAAATGAAAATTTATTTGCCATAAAACATCATCGCACAAATTATGCAAAATATGGGCCATTAAACCACATGATGGCCTCTTACAATCAATACTGCGAAACCATTGACTTTACAATGTCTCGGCATAAACTAAAACAATATTTTTACTCCATAAGGCATTATAACTCATAACAAATAGAAAAGCTGACACTGCTTAATTTTTATTAAAGAAAAAATTATAGTTTTAACCTCTTTTCCAAATAAATAAATATATTTAAGAAAACAAAACTGTATTCGAATATGTACTAGTCTACGTTGGTTGACGAAATAAAATAAAAAAATTAAAGGGTTGTGTTCTAGACACGACCGCAGTATGACGTAGAACCACGCAAAATTGATTTTTGTCATGCATTTTTGACTATTATATTTATTATTATGAATGGGGCGGCGCAGTACGTTTCTTTTGTGCAGAATGTGGAAAAAAAAAGATGGACCTTGGATGTTAATCTAATTGCATATATAGAGGTACCGTTCCGATTCAAATTTCGGACGATTCAAATTTCGGACACTTTCATTTTTAATTAAATATTACATCCAGTTAGAAACAAAGTAATAATGTTAGATGATCGTGGAGGGCACTAGTCAAAAAAATTTAAAATTTACAAGACATGTGGATCATATTCGACCGAGATAATCAACTTTTAAAAGTGTCCGAAATTCGAGTTTAAGTGTCCGAAATTTGAATCGGCACGGTACCAAATATGTTTTACAGTCAGTTGTTGGTAATTTACCAACATAATATCATCGGATGTATCTCTGCAATTGTTTTGAAAATTTTGCTTTTGTTTTTACTTATAACGTTAAACGGGGAAACGTTTGGTTCATGAAAACAGTGATAAAATTATCATTTGCGCATTTTTCAACAGTTTTTTGATTAAAAATTGGAAAATAGTGATAAAATTATCATTTGCGCATTTTTCAACAGTTTTTTGATTAAAAATTGGAAAATTATTTATTTCAGCAGATTCGTTAAGTAATATCCTACCGATTGGCGTATTTGGATTTTAATTTCATTTATAAACGACAAAGTTACAAGCGTTCAATACCTAACACTATTTCACCACACATATTTTTTGATTTGCACCCCAGTATAGTCGTCAAAGACGTAGTTCTACGTCAAAAGGGCCGGTTGTTTTTCAAATGGTGGCCACACCAATGTAAGCAGATGCCGACCGGATGACTGCTTGCTATTGCGGGAAGCCTTTCCTCCGGTCGATGTGGGTGCTTTCGTCGTCATCTCAGTGATGCCACATATACAGATTTTTCTCAACATTTTGGTACAAATATCTATGTATACATATTATTTTAAAGATACAGATTTTTCAGATTTTTCAAATAAGTGGAATATATGTTTAACTCTGGATTATATTTATTGATATCCATAAATAACCCTTTCTTCCTTTTGAGTAGTTACTGAAACACTTATGGCCCCGGAACCGCTTAGTTCCAGAAGAGAACCAGCCTAAGCCCCGAGCTGATGGTCTTAAGCCAACGGCAGCTCCTGGGGTGGGCACTCAAGGCCTCTTTTGGTTCCGGGTCCCAAGGCGTTTTTGCGTGGGGAAGCTTTCGGATTGTGGGGAATTCCTATCCAACTATAAAAGTAGAATTTGCCTTACATTTATTTGTTATGCGAACCAATATGATGAGCTTGACATTGTCTAGATGGTGGCGGCCAGTTAGTGACAGCTGGATGTTGGTGACCAGATGGCGGAAGCCCAAAACCGTATGGTAGCAGCCTTAGGGAAGCACCCCTATGGCGGTGGCCGGATGGCAGTGGCCAGATGGCGGTGGCCTGCTGGCAGTGGCCTGGTAGCAGTGGCCAGATGGCAGTGCCCGGATGGCGGTGCCCAGATGGCGGTGGCCAGATGGCGGTGGCCAAATGGCGGTGGCCAGATGGCGGTGGCCAGATGGCGGTGGCCAGATGGCGGTGGCCAGATGGCGGTGGCTAGATGGCGGTGGCCAGATGGCGGTGGCCAGATGGCGGTGGCCAGATGGCGGTGGCCAGATGGCGGTGGCCAGATGGCGGTGGCCAGATGGCGGTGGCCAGATGGCGGTGGCCAGATGGCGGTGGCCAGATGGCGGTGGCCAGATGGCGGTGGCCAGATGGCGGTGGCCAGATGGCGGTGGCCAGATTGCGGTGGCCAGATGGCGGTGGCCTGCTGGCAGTGGCCTGGTAGCAGTGGCCAGATGGCGGTGCCCGGATGGCGGTGCCCGGATGGCGGTGCCCGGATGGCGGTGCCCGGATGGCGGTGCCCGGATGGCGGTGCCCGGATGGCGGTGCCCGGATGGCGGTGCCCGGATGGCGGTGACCGGATGGCGGTGGCCAGATGGCGGTGGCCAGATGGCGGTGGCCTGGTAGCAGTGGCCAGATGGCAGTGCCCGGATGGCGGTGCCCAGATGGCGGTGGCCAGATGGCGGTGGCCAAATGGCGGTGGCCAGATGGCGGTGGCCAGATGGCGGTGGCCAGATGGCGGTGGCCAGATGGCGGTGGCCAGATGGCGGTGGCCAGATGGCGGTGGCCAGATTGCGGTGGCCAGATGGCGGTGGACAGATGGCGGTGGCCAGATGGCGGTGGCCAGATGGCGGTGGCCAGATGGCGGTGGCCAGATGGCGGTGGCCAGATGGCGGTGGCCAGATGGCGGTGGCCAGATGGCGGTGGCCAGATGGCGGTGGCCAGATGGCGGTGGCCAAATGGCGGTGGCCAGATGGCGGTGGCCAGATGGTGGCCAGATGGCGGTGGCCAGATGGCGGTGGCCAGATGGCGGTGGCCAGATGGCGGTGGCCAGATGGCGGTGGCCAGATGGCGGTGGCCAGATGGCGGTGGCCTGATGGCGGTGGCCAGATGGCGGTGGCCAGATGGCGGTGGCCAGATGGCGGTGGCCAGATGGCGGTGGCCAGATGGCGGTGGCCAGATGGCGGTGGCCAGATGGCGGTGGCCAGATGGCGGTGGCCAGATGGCGGTGGCCAGATGGCGGTGGCCAGATGGCGGTGGCCAGATGGCGGTGGCCAGATGGCGGTGGCCAGATGGCGGTGGCCAGATGGCGGTGGCCAGATGGCGGTGGCCAGATGGCGGTGGCCAGATGGCGGTGGCCAGATGGCGGTGGCCAGATGGCGGTGGCCAGATGGCGGTGGCCAGATGGCGGTGGCCAGATGGCGGTGGCCAGATGGCGGTGGCCAGATGGCGGTGGCCAGATGGCGGTGGCCAGATGGCGGTGGCCAGATGGCGGTGGCCAGATGGCGGTGGCCAGATGGCGGTGGCCAGATGGCGGTGGCCAGATGGTGGTGGCCAGATGGCGGTGGCCAGATGGCGGTGGCCAGATGGCGGTGGCCAGATGGCGGTGGCCACATAGCGGTGGCCAGATTGCGGTGGCCAGATGGCGGTGGCCAGATGGCGGTGGCCAGATGGCGGTGGCCAGATGGCGGTGGCCAGATGGCGGTGGCCGGATGACGGTGGCCTGCTGGCAGTGGCCTGGTAGCAGTGGCCAGATGGCGGTGCCCGGATGGCGGTGCCCGGATGGCGGTGCCCGGATGGCGGTGCCCGGATAGCGGTGCCCGGATGGCAGTGCCCGGATGGCGGTGCCGGGATGGCGGTGCCGGGATGGCGGTGCCCGGATGGCGGTGCCCGGATGGTGGTGCCCGGGTGGCGGTGCCCGGATGGCGGTGCCCGGATGGCGGTGCCCAGATGGCGGTGCCCGGATGGCGGTGACCGGATGGCGGTGACCGGATGGCGGTGCCCGGATGGCGGTGCCCGGATGGCGGTGCCCGGATGGCGGTGCCCGGATGACGGTAACCTGATAACAGTGGCCTGATAAAGGTGAGGCATCGCTACACACCGACTCCCCCCGAACTCTCTATCCTCCTCACCATACCCATAGTCGCACTCACACCACTCAGCTCTCTCGTTCGCTACCACATTTCCGTTCCAATTACTGCAGCTGACTTCACTCGTCACCCACAATCGTTATCGGTGCTACCGTTCGCAATTCAAATTGGAAGTTTGCTGAACAAATGGTGCCCTACGTTCCCACACAAAATAAAAATACAAAATGTTACCATTTGGGATGGTAACACTACGCACACCTAATCAAATCCCAATTTTTCATTTTTTATTTTATTATCTTCGTTAATTTTGAACGATTTTCTGATGCTCAGATGTTCTGATTTCTGATTGCTGATTTCTGATATTTTTTAATTAATCATGTGATATTGGTAACAGGTACAATTATTATTTTTTTAAATTGGTCGAATCTATAAACAAGCCCTTTTAACAATTTGACTAGCGTAATATCAGAAATAAAGAATATTCTATGCAAATCTACTAAACATCCAAATAAAAGTTATGTGTTGAGACAAAATACAAAACATATTAATACGATGCAAATAGAGAAATACAGATGAAACCATCCCAAAGTTTATCACAAAAAAAGATATCGAGAGCACTTAGGTATATAAGTAGGTTCGAGCAACAGCTAGCAAATTCAATATCCCTTCAATCTGCCAAATGATTAGATAAAGTTGAAATTTGGTTGGATTAGAAGAATTTGAGAAAATGAAACATCGAGCATAACATTTTGAAACTGTACATAAAATTTTAATGCTTATTTTTCATTTTCTAAAATTGTTGTGTAAAAAAACCAAATGACCTGAGAAAGATTTTCGTAATCTCGGATATAAAAAATTCAAGTTTTACGAAAATGTGATTGTTTCTTCATTAATTTTTGATTTGTCTCTCATAACTGGGATTTAATTTTTTGTATTTTTGAACTTTTAAAAAAAGATACAAATCACTCAAAAAAATCAAGATTCAGGATTTCGAGATCTTTTAAATAGATTTTTTTCTAAGAAAGCAAATCATTCTTCAAGATTCTAAGCAATGAACAAAATATTTCTGAACTTCAAATAAACTCAAAGTATATTAAGGACGATCCGCAATAAGATCAAAGAATTTATACAGATTAAAAAGATTTTTTACGGTGATCCTACAGATTGAAAATGGAAATAATGTGGCAACACTGCGACGTCATTGTATTGGTGCGATGCGTGCTGTTCCACACATACGTCGTGTCCGACGCTTATCCGTCCATTGCTCGAAAGCAAATGACGAAAAAACGATTTGCGCGTAGCGTTTTTTATTATTGCTGCTTTTTTCTTCCCTTCCTTTCATTGGTGAAATGGTGAGCGATCAACCGAGCATTGAGCTTACACATGTGAGCATGAGTATCTGCATAAGCAAATCTGTATTTTTGCTTATAAAAATCTTTTTATCTGTATCATCTTTGAAAAATCTGTATCAATATCTGTATAGTTTTAATATTGCGAATTTGCGCCGACTACATTAATAGCGGTAAGCTTCAACTCGGATTTACTTTTGCAAATGTTTGCATAAGGGGAGGTTCTCAATCCAAATTAAAAAAAAAAACAAATTTTTTTGTTATTGCATTTTTTGAAAGGTATAAGTGTCTACTATATTGTGTTGAAAGCGTTTTACGCACAAGAAAAGTTTCTACAGGCCATTATTGTCCTAAGCGGCTTCACTAATTATTCGATCGAAACGGCTGCCAACACTTTAAACGCGTTTATCTCGAAACATGATTTTCCAAAACTGCGTGCAATCTCATTTGAAAACGATTCAATTTAACGACTTCTACCTTTGACTATTCGAAAGAAAACCTTTTTTATTGTAGGAATGACCTATAAAATCTACTAATTCTTTGTGTTAACTATATTTTCTGAAGCCTTAAAGAGGAAAAAAAGGGGTGGAAAATCTACCACAAGGTTTGAGATCGCACCATTTTGTCAAATTTGAAGTTATTTACCCGTTCTTAGGTCATTCCTGCAAAATAGTTAGTGCACTTTTAAACCTCATTAATTGTGGTGTGTTTCAGATTGATCCTGAGGTACTGGGCTGCACGCAGTTTGACATCTCCAGGCGTACACTTTTTTTTTTTTTTTTAAGTACACTACCTTACTCAAAACGTGATCACGGGCGCCATTTTGCTTTTTTGGCCTTGTAAAAATTTGGAAACAAAGACGAAGTTCTAAGATTTTTGAATTTCAAAACCACGTTCTTTTATGTTTTTTTTTTATTGGCCCACAAAAAATGCCAAACTTTACTTACTTTTTGGCCATTTGAATGAGAACCTCCATTAGGATTGAATTGGTTAATAATATTAGTAATCAAAAAAAAAAAAACAATGTATATGCAATTTGTGACGTAGGTAATTGCATGTACGTACAGTGCATTCATGCAGTTGTGTGAGTTCTACACTTTCGAGGCAAGGTTATAATTCATACGGTAACATGAAAGTAACACTGACGCAAAAATTCAAAAAATTACCCAATCAAAATATCTGTATATCTGTAAATACAGATTATTGGTTTAAACACTGCTAAAAAAAACTGTATAAATACAGATTCTTCTGTATTTCTGGCATACCTGGATGTGTCGTTTGTTCGTTTTGCGCTCTATCGTTGCGTCCATATTTGGGATTTTTCGTTACATGCCTGAATTTTTATTTTTTAATGTGACCCCCAGTATGGAAATTAAAGACGTAGTCCTACGTCAAAATACTGGACACATCTAGCTAAAATCGATCTAGCTCGAAAAGGAAACTGTGCTGAAGCGCTTGAACAGATTAAAAGTCTGATTCTTTCAATCGTGGATTATTTTATCTATTCAATGGATTAACAGCATGGTTGATTTTAGCAATAGATGTCTCTAGTAAAAAAAAAAGTTACGGTGATTTATTTTGTATGCAGAAAGTCAAAAATCTTGATTTTCACAAAATTACAATCTTAATAAAAAAAATATTTCGTACACTCATCCTTTCAGTACCTATGCCAACTTTAGTAACACGAGCACTCGCACGTTATTCAAAATACAACAGTGTGTTATTTTCACCTTGAGGGTGCTGCTTGAAAGCTGACATCATCCAAAATTTACCTCAAGTATTGGCCTATTTGACATGAGTATTGAATTTCATGAAACTCGTTTAGTTTCTCGTTGAGTGAGTTCAAAGGTTTTTTTTTCGTTTTGTACAACGGCGCGAGTAGTGAAAGGTTAATAACTATAATTTTTACCGAACTGACCAAATTTGTTTTCTATTTTCGCTTCTAAAATCGATATTTTTGCAAAAATGTTGAAACCTTGAATTATTTTATGAATAACTTTTTCCCCATAAAAGTGTGGCACCATGCTATAGATAACGCATAACAAAATAAAGAACATGTATACGTATTCTCGTCAATCTGAGCAGTGCCGCGCTTCTATGGGCTGTTTTTCGACGTACACATATGCAGTGTTTGTTTGTTTGTTTACATTTATCTGCTGTCTGCCGCTCTATCCATTCAATCAGTGGTGGCACGAGTACTGGAGTTTAACGTTTTTTCCTTAACATTTTATACTTTGCGCAATGACCATAGAGAAAACACACAAACACAAACAGGTAAGCTGAAAAAATGTTATGACATTTCTAAACTGTTTTCTGCAGGCGACAGAACATTTTCACACAATGAAGCAGACAAGACCAGCGACATAAATTTATGTCATGTAGAGTTTTGCTGAATAAATAAATTTATGTCATGTAGAGTTTTGCTGATTGCTGGCTAATTATAGCATTTATTTATTGTTTATTGCATGGAATTATGAGATAAGAATAAATACTAACCACTCATAAGCATACATGTTAGAATTATTAGTAAATAAGGGAGTTGATAATTTACTGTCACACGCAAGCTTGCAGCTAAAATGAGGCATTCCACGAAGGTTCGCAAATCGATCCTGACCGATCATTTCCAATTACGCTGAAACTTTGCACAGTTGTTCCTTTTTAGTAAAGGCGCCATTTTGTGCTGTCAGTTTTTTTATATTGAATTACGACTACTTTTTGAAAAGGGCCTGTGTAAAAATAGCACTAATGAGTTTAAAAATATATATTTCCGAAACGCTTTGTTCGATTGATTTGGGGTCTAGTGCAAAGTTGTAGATATTATTTTGGCAATTGTGTAAAAAATATACACTGTAAAAAATTTCGTTTGCATCAATGAAAAAAAATATATTTATTATTAAAAAAGTTAATTTCTCAAAAAGTACAAATTTTCGTTTTAAGCCTCATTGAAGCTCATAATGTTTGCTACTAACTGGCAAAGTTTGGTGATGGTAAACTCAAAAAGTTATGGTTTTTTTTAATATTTCACGATTTTTACATTTTCATTAAAAACACATTTTTTTAACCGTTTATATTTTTTCAAGAATTGCATTTTAATTTTGCACAACTTTTCCGAAGACACCATAGCAATCAAGCAAGCCTCCACAAAATACATTTATCTGCTCTTTTTTACTTTTCTTTTATTCGAAAACCTTATGGACAAATGATACATAATTTATTTTCATTGTAATTCACTTACTTTCTATTTTTATTTACATCACTTCTTAAATACACCGAATATTTTGGCATCATTATCATTACAGTTATCGTTTGGCTTTAATTTTATTTTCTGATACAGGAATGAAAGAATGAAACTTTTGAGTTCCTTGAATTATTTTTGCATTATTATATTGCTCGTTGAGGTGTGAAGCCATACATTCGTATTCCTCTGTTGTGGCAAAACTAAATGATAATTTTGTTAATTCTTCTTCTTTTCGATTATTTGCCCAATTATAAAGCTCTCTTGCATTTTTTATTGGATGTTCACGTTCTTTGGCCAAACTTGCTCTAGTAGCCATACGTTTTATTGTACCTCCAATAGCGTCACAAGGACCTTTCCCATGTGATGTTGCAAAGAAATGCCATTCGGCTTCAATTCCATACTTTGATTTAAATTTACAAAGGCTAGCAAAATTTTTCCGGTTCTTGTACTGTGAAGCGGCTCCA